AACAGCCATGTTTCCTGATCTATAGAAATTATTTCGCATTACACCAGTTTAGAAAACGGGAACCAAAGATGATCTTGACAACTACAGACCTGTTAGCATACTTTGTAATTTCTCCAAAGTATTTGAAATCATTATTCATACATACTTATCTAGACATCTTTCGAGGTCATTATCGCAATACCAACATGGATTTATAAAGGGTAGGTTCACTGTGTCGAATCTTGTGTGCAAAACACAATTTTTGGCAGAGGCTTTAGATAGAAGAAGTCAGGTCGATGTTATCTATACCGACTTTTCGAAAGCAGTTGATAGAATCAAATCCTATTACAAAAATTAAAGTCTAAGGGACTATCTGATCTTCTTCTTTTACTTATCGATTCTTACTTAGAAAATAGACGTCAGTATGTGCAACACCAAGTATTTAATTCAAACCATTTTAAGCAAATTTCAGGTGTACCGCAGGGTTCGGTCCTTGGGCCCCTTCTTTTCATAGTTTTTATTGATGACATTATTGGCAAAAGCACAGAAGTAAAATACTTAATATATGCTGAAGATTTAAATTTTTTTTCTAAAATACCGAACTTTGTTGATGGTACAGCTTTACAAAGTTGTTTAGCTGAATTATTGCTATGGTGTACTAAAAATTATTTTCATTTGAATCCTGGTAAATGCAGTGTTATGACATATACTAGGAAAAAATCATATTTCACCTTTGATTATCAGATCAATGGCACTGTGTTAAGTAGGCCGGAGTTTATAAAGGATCTGGGAGTCCATTTTGACAGGGAATTAACTTTCGCAAGGCATATTAAGCAGACAGTTATGTGTGCTTCACGGAGTCTTGGTTTTGTAATTCGAAATTCCAAACAATTTAAAAATATACATACAATGAAGTTATTATATATTAGTTTTGTTAGATCTAGACTTGAGTATGCGTCAGTTGTATGGAATCCATCACTTAACATTTATAATAGCGCTATTGAAAATGTGCAAAGAAAATTTATGAAGTCTGCGTCATATCTTCTAGACAATATCTATCCTGTTAGAGGATTTCCTCATGATCAACTGTTGTCGCGCTTTGGTTTAATGGAACTGCACATACGCCGTAAAATGCAGCTAGTTTCATTCATATGGGATATTTTACATGAAGGGCTAAACTGCATTGAGTTTCAGGATTATATCAACATTAAAGTACTCCGCCCTGGTCTTAGAATATACTTAAGCTTTTACTTGCCAGCTGCAAATACAAATATTTTGAACGGTTCTCCAATTTTTCAAATGATCAATAATTATAATTATTGATCATTTGGAAAATTATCATCGCCTTCAAGACAGTTTGGATATTTTTAGTTGTAAGAAAATAGATATTTTTAGAGCTATTACCATAGAAACTAAGTAGGTGTTTATCCTGCTTGGTAAGTTAATAATATATCTTTTGTGTGTATTTATTTTATTTTAATTTAATTTTTCAATTTTTTTAAAATTGTTTTATGCTCCTTTAAAAACTTAAATATTACTGAATATTTTACCTTCAGTTTTCCTTAAAAATAGACTTCGTTGTACTTCTTATTTTTTTAATGTTCAGTCATATCTGATGTTCTTAACTCGTTTGTGATGTATATCATTAGTATATTGTATTTGTTTTTAATTTATGTTCATCCCACTCTGTAATTGGTTTTTAACTGTTGAGTGGTGTACTAAATAAATAAATAAAAATAAATAAATAAATCTTTTTCCTTGTGAAAAGGACCATTTCTCTCTTCTTAGGATTGATAGACATTGAATGGTTCTTGCACCAATGTTCGATAATTTTTAGAGCTTTTTGCATTCTTTCGATAAGAATTTACCCATATTTTGTGGCATTCGGAAATATCTTACATTACACTATTTTTGGAATTCGTAATATGCATTTCACAAGTCGCCACCGCCCAGTCCAGCATTTAAAACATTAATTCAGTTCTTTCCTGTTATATATAGGAAATATAGTAAATACTAACACCAAAACAAATAAATTTTTAAATTATTTTACACTATTTAATCGAAAAGTGTCAAAATAACTTAAAAGTTCGTCCCGCATTACGTCATTGCGCGATTTGGACGAATTTTGAATCGAAAGTCAGCATACCGTTAGTATGTGTATCGTGAGAGGAAACAGCTAGCAAATTTAGTGTAAATCGTTTTGAGTAAAATACTTTATTAAACGGTATTGAACGTTGGTTAATAGCCAAAATATGTAAGACTACTAGCTATGATCAGGTTGGTTTTAAACTACCGCCGCGATATACTAATAAACATGTTTAAAATGGCATCACTATAAACAAAATATGTCTAAAAAATCTTAAAAATTAGAAAATTTAATATCAATACCGAAATGAATGGAAACGAAAATTATTTTGAAAATTCAGAAATATAATAAAAACTGTTGTCCTGAAAGTTATTCTGAAAGTGCATTATTTAGCCTAATTCATATGAGCTTATTTTGTTTTGGAGTGAGGGTAGCCATATGTGAGTAGTAGGGATTAAGTATAAGGGGTTAAAGAAAAGGTCCTTTATTTCTCACAAGTCAATTTAATTGGCGACCGGTTTCGAAGTTGTCACTTCATCATCAGGCACACCTAAATGGAATGTCAAGGAGTCAGTTGTAATAAAAAACAATTATAAAAGCATGAACGGACTTTAACATATACAAAATAACAGAAAAAACACAAAAGAAGTTAAACAGTAACCTTGACTCACCTTGACTATTTCCATAAAGGAAGCGCTACATAAAGTTTAACAAAACGAGTTAAAAAAGTCATATGTAATACAATAGTATTTTTTAAAAAATATTTTAGGTTAGGTTAAACCGCGAGATGTCTGTTTGAATAAATTAATTAAAACACATGTAAGACAATTATTAACTAAACAACACAAAATAGTTTTTACAAGCACAAACAGTTTAAAAATTTTTAAGGATATAACGTCAATTAATGAAAGTAAAAAGTAAAAAAGTAAAAAGTAAAAATTATCAGACTCTCAAGACATCTATCTAGATTTTTAACGAATCAATGTAGTAAACTGTAAATTTTAAATTTAGCGGATAAATAGTGTACTAACAAGGGTGTTATTTACTGAAAGTGAGTATTGGTGGCGGTGACAAAATTTATTGAAAGTAAAAATATTAAACTGGGAAATGAGAAAGCAAAAAATACTAACAAGAAAATTAGAACACTGAACAAGAAAATATGAAAATTCATATGTAAAAGGGAAATTTGAAGCAGATAATCAAAAGAGAAAAATTACTGTTACAGGAAACGGAAACTAAGTTGACAAGTACGAATGTCAAAAAAGAAAAGTCAAATTTTGGCGTATGACAACCACGTGGGAGAATTTGAATAAACTAATAAAGAAAACATTTAATAATATGCGAGTGGGCAAAAATTAATGGAAACAGAGAAGAAAATCTAAATTGGGAGAGTTAATTAATTTGTGGTAAGTAACTGATTGAAGATCAAATGAGTGGGGGTATAAGTCTGAAATTAATTTAAATAAGCGCAGATAACGTTGGGGTACTAATAAATTGAATTTGTGCATTCAGAGAGCAGGAGGGTCCAGATTTAATATTTTTTGAAATTTCCAGGTTCTCAAAGTTATTCAGAAGGAATTTTTTAGAAGTCATATGCAAAATGTCGAAGCCAATGCTAGAATCAAAATCGTGACCAGTGTCTAACAAATGAGCAGCAAAGTGAGAAAAACCAGTAGTGTTAGTGTTAAGACAGCGTGTGTGCTCTTTCAGGCGTATTTTAAAATTACGAAAGGTTCTTCCCACATATGAGCATGGACAGTTCAAACAAGTTAGTTTGTAAACACCAGACTGATCCATAGGATCAATCTTATCCTTATTCCTAACAAATAGGCTACTGATGGAGTTGGACGTTCTAAAGCTAATTCTGAAGGAATCTTTGAACAAGTTGGCTATACGATATGATAATTTTCCAATAAAAGTAAGTGAAACATACTTACGATTATCTGCTTCAATATTGGGAAGGGGTCAATTATGTAACTATTGTTCTGATTACGTTTATTCTGTTTTCTATGAAGCATTTTATCTATTAAGTTCTGATCATAATTGTGACTATTAGCAATTTGTTTGATAACATTGAGTTCTTTTCATATTTTCTTGTTCAGTGTTCTAATTTTCTTGTTAGTAATTTTTGCTTTCTCATTTCCCAGTTTAATATTTTTACTTTCAATAAATTTTGTCACCGCCACCTATACTCACTTTCATTAAATAACACCTTTGTTAGTACACTATTTATCCGCTAAATTTAAAATTTACCGATTACTACATTGATTTGTTAAAAATCTAAATAGATGTCTTGAGAGTCTGACAATTTTTACTTTTTACTTTTTTACTTTTTACTTTCATTAATTGACGTTATATCCTTAAACATTTTTAAACTGTTTGTGCTTGTAAAAACTATTTTGTGTTGTTTAGTTAATAATTATCTTACATGTGTTTTAATTAATTTATTCAAACAGACATCTCGCGGTTTAACCTAACCTAAAATATTTTTAAAAAAAATACTATTGTATTACATATGACTTTTTTAACTCGTTTTGTTAAACTTTATGTAGCGCTTCCTTTATGGAAATAGTCAAGGTGAGTCAAGGTTATTGTTTAACTTCTTTTGTGTTTTTTCTGTTATTTTGTATATGTTAAAGTCCGTTCATGCTTTTATAATTGTTTTTTATTGCAACTAACTCCTTGACATTCCATTTAGGTGTGCCTGATGATAAAGTGACAACTTCGAAACCGGTCGCCAATTAAATTGACTTGTGAGAAATAAAGGACCTTTTCTTTAACCCCTTACACTTAAGCTTATTATGTGTTTTTAATAAAAATATTTATCTAGGTAGTCAAATAAACCGGTATTTCTAGTGATATAAATAAAAGAAGGTTGCATATAAAATAACGTTGAGAAACTCTGGTTAAATCAATAATACATTTCTATTTGCAGCTCTTAGCCAAATCTCCACAAATCTGTTTGCCAAATTGCACCTTAGCCCCACAACAATATGCATTCAGTGCTACTTCAGAAATCCCACTTCTGAAAATTCCAACTACCACTATAACGTCTACAGTTCCCAAAGCTAACTGCTGGGCCTGGTTCCAGCCATTACCAGTTAAGAGTTAATGCCTTTCAACAGGAAATTCGCCACATTACACGCCGCTTTCCCGTCGGCTTTCCACTCTCTTTCTTTTTCCCGTTATTAATGCCTTATGAGATTAGATATTTTCTTCAGAAGGTGTTGATATAACGTGATGGAAATTTCATGGGGCTCGCTGAATTTTCTCGATGGGTTTTTCTGTTTCTCTGTCATTTAGGGATAATTGATATGAACACATTTCGTTGTCGCTTACTAGAGATTTTCGGGAATTTTCTTGAAAGGGACGAGAAATTGAGCGGAAAGAGACATTTCTGATTTTATTTTAAATCGAAAGATATTTTTTATTGTTTTACTTCCCCTAGGAACGTGTTTTAGGGGAATACCAAAGCTAAGAGCCCGACACGGCGTAGAGAGTGTAAAATAATCTGAAATATTTTGGAAATAAACGAATGCAAATTTATTGAAAAAAACTATTTAACTATTTAAACAGAAATTGTAAATTAAAACTAAATAAGAGATTATTAGTTATTCCATATTTTAACACAAATTTTAAGGGGATTAAAACTTTTTTTCATGAAAAAAAAAAACAAATATATTCTTTAAAAATCGAGTATTTTTGGGTAAAAAGTTCGTATGAATTCAACCGCAATAATCAGCACCTTTATTAAAACAAATACATGAAGCTTCACATGTACTTTGATATGACTGACGTTTGGAAAAAGAAGCCTCCAACAAATTTGCATACTACATAATTACAATGTTCTGCGACATTTGTGTCTATGTCAGCTATAAGGCTATATACATGAATAAGTAGTCAGTTTAAGAAAATATGCTAATATCTCTGTATAAACTGCAGTATATATAGCTGCAATAAAATTAGTTTCTGGTTTTTTAGTTTCACTGCATTTAAAATATTTAATTTCTTTGCACTGTAATATAAGGCTGTTTTAATCTTTACTTCAATAGGTCTAAATAGGACACGCCATTTTTAACCGACTTCAAAAAAGGAGTAGGTTATCAATTCGTCGCGATATTTTTTTTTATGTATATTCAGCGATTATTCTTTAACGCGGTGTCCGATTGTAACGGTTTTAATCGAACGTTATGCCTTATCGCCTATTTCTGTCTCAAAACTAGAATTAACTTATAATCTAGAAATTACCTTGAATATGCTCCTGTCGTAGAACTTTATTAGATTTTTCGAGAAAACACAGCTTTATTCAAATGGGATTTAGCGTTACTGGTGTAAATGTTCCTTCTTAGGGCTCACATAATTTTTACAAGGTTACACTGAATTTCACTATGGTTTTCAGTAGTAGTTTTCACTCTTAAGATATTGTTTACAATAACCTCTGTATTTTGTTGATTTTATTCAAAAGGAATTTAGCGTAACTGGGGTAAATGTTCTCCTTAGGACACACATAATTTTTACAAGGTTACACTGAATTTCACTATGATTCTCAATAATACTGTTCACTTGTAGAAGTGTTGTTTACAATGTTTTTAGTATTTTGTAGGTTAAAACTGATGTCGGATGTCAATTAATTTAATGAAGTATGCCTGTCGCATTTCGAGATGTCTATCTTTGTTCGATAAGTGATTCTTAGGTAATGCCTCTCTCTCTCTCTGCTTGACGGAGGACAAGGGGACGTCATATGTCTGACCTCGATTCATACGCCAGTGATTCGTGAACTAAGGAGTGCTCGTTTAAGCGGTGGTTGCTTTTCATGGGCATATTTTTGGGTTTTCTTATTGGTCGAGCAGTGTTAACAGAGCTGTCAGCCTGAATGCGAATGGTCGCATTCTAGCAGTTGAAGGAGGTCATTGGTCGCACAGTATAACCAACAATAATTTCTAGAGATCGGACAGTGGCGATTGGTTTAAATGGGTTTTCTTTGAAGTAATTCTGCGCAGTCGAGGTTTTATGCTAGGGGACGAAGAGCGGCGTAATTTGTAACACGTGGCAGCTTCGTCTTGCTTTCCAACAAGGAATGTTAATGGAGGTGTTGAACTGAAAATTCGCTAAGAGACTTTTTACTTTTTTTATGTGATTTTGTGTATCATCCCGCGTGGGGAGTCTAGTAAAAGTGTCTCTATTTTATGGGAAGCATTAATGGTACGTTTTGAAGTTGGTTAACGCGAAGTTAGACCGGTATTTTTTTATGTGATTGTGTGCCGGCTTTCCCATCTCATCTTGAGGAGCATTGAATATTGAAGTTCAACCCATCCGTCGTCCTGGAGCAGTTTGATGGTTGGAGACCGATCGTAATTGGGTTATATATTGAAGGGAGAATTGGTCTTTAAGAAGTTCTACGCAGATTTCATTTCCTGTTTGATTCGAAGTAACACCCTCCGGAACAGAGGTTGGTTTTATTATTTTTGTTTTATTTGATAAATTGTAAATATTTCTACCCATTCATTTTAATAACAGATTCTTTCAGATTTTAAGGGGGTTGAATATGGGGAAACAGGTTATACTGTATAGTTTTACTGGTTCATTTTTTTATTGGGGACTTTTGATGCTTTGCTTGAATAGTCTTTACTTGGGCAATAATTTCAACCCTCTGGGAGGTTCAATTAATTCACATTAATTTTCAAGAGATAAAGGGGCGGGATCAATTTAGGTTATCAGATTGTAATTAGGATTGTACATTTTAGGGTGCTTGGTACCGGTGTTGCTTGGTACCGGTGTTGCTTGGTACCGGTGTTGTTTGGTACCGGTGTTGCCTGCTACTGTTGTTGGGCACAGTGCAGCTATATGGTAGTGAAGATACTGCCTAGTACTAGCGTTTTCCTGACTGGTATTGATTATGTACTTCCTCTTTAATGAAGAACAGCCATTTTGGGGTTCGAACACCTCATCTACTTTTCTAGAACATCAGAGATTTGGTATCATAGGACTACATGCCACAGGCGGCATCGCTAGCCTTGAATAGCACGGACCAGGAGATAAGTGGAAATTATGTATTTATTTTTCTAACGTTTCGGTTATAATTTGGGGTTTATTATTTAGTCTACCACTGATGCGTATATGTATACAGTTTTCTTTATGAATTTATTTGATTAAATAACGTTGTGTTCATATGCTGTTAAAGGTCCTCATTGCCTATGTTTCATGGTTAGTTCATATATCATAATTCATAGTGTTTTATAATAAGAGTATGTTTCACATTGTTTAGTGAAACAAATACTATTTTAGTTTAAAAGTATTTTGGATATGAACTTCTGTAATATACAGAAATTACAGGATTTTTAATATTAAATGAAGTTAACCTTTTCTATGAGTTGCGCTTGATATGTCTTTCGCCTTGGATCCAACGCTAATGACCGTGGGGTATTGAGAAGTAATACTATTGATTTTATTGGGGATTTTAATGGGGTACTGACAAGTAATATTATTGATTTTATTAAGATTCAATGAACTAACCCTGTCTAATTTCTGTACACTGCGCTAAAATATTGTAAATACTGGTATTAATTTGGGGTTATGATTAGCCCTCAGGTATGTAAGTAAAAATCTAGTCCTTCTAGCATATGAATTGTGTTTGAAGTCGCTAATAGCACACTAATTGTAAAAGGGGTCATTAACTAAGGGGAAACTATCTTCCAATTAGGAAATAAACAAGGTTTGAGTTAAGGTTGTCTTTTATTTTCCTATTTATTTGGTAGATTTAAAAGTAGAACTTTTCTGATTTGTAGTGGCTTGGTATAGTAGATCTACCTGGCGTCCAATTTAACAGAACAGCTAAAATAATTTATTTTTCCCTGATTACGAAGTAATCACCCACTCCCTTCTCCACTTGAGTGAACCGGAGCTACAAGGTTGACATCAGGGACAACCGAACTTAAAGTAACGTTTTGGGGGTTACACGATTTTAATGATTCTTTTTTTTTTTTTTTGTTAGTAAGGGGGTACCTCAGGGGTGGTCCCATATAAATTTGGTTAAGATGTGGTGATGGCATCTGCACGTTTTTGAAGTCGGTTTTTTTAAATTTTTAATTTCTAATACTTGTTGACTTATTATCCCAAAATTTTTCTTTTCTTTCATCTTATCTTGACTGACGATGTTGAAAGGATCTCATTACAAAGTCCTTAAGAGGAAAGCCTTCATCTCCAATAAAGACGCAAGGTGTAGGGTCCTCTTGATTTGGCAAAGATCGTTCTTTAGGCAGGTCAGAAGTTCTAGTAATTAATCTCTGGCCCATTGCAGATTTTTCAAAAATTTATCTGTTAAATTATTAAAGTTCATAAAATTGCAATGACAAGTCAAACCACAAACGTCAAACTTTCAAAACAAACATATTTGTGTTGTGTTCCAAACAGAAAATGCCATTTATAGAATTATTTATTTACTTGAAAACTTTTTCCCGCGCAGCACCTCGCCCCTCACCCAGAAACATGGTCAAATTTGGCTAAACCGGTTTTACATTTGTCTGCATATGGAGCGATGTTGCAATTTTTACATTAGTATCTATTCCGCCTGTTCAGATGGCAGCATCTTATGGACAGTACATTTTTAAATCTTAACACAAGTTTCCTAAAATAATTAGGCAAAAATAAAAGAATGTATTTTGCGTTTCAGCTTTTAAATTCTATAAAAAATGGTGAAAAAGTTTTAAATATTTGTTAAATATCATTTATTAAAATATTATGCATTTAAAGTAAAACAAACCATAGACTTTCCACCATTCTTTACCATACTCTAAACCCATTTTTAAAAACAATTTCTGAAAATATCGTTCAGAGCTGTATTTCTTGTGATAAAAAAAGTCGCCGTCTCTTGTCATTGACAACGCGTTGAACTTGGACTTAATGGTACTGCTTTATTTAACTTTATTTAACTTTTAGGTTTATTTTTACAAATAAGATTATATTAAAAAACAGAAAGGTCGAATAATGATTGTAAAATGAAATATAAGTATGTTTTGCATCCCTTGTTTAACTCATGAAAACGCACTGCTTCTCTTCATACCCTAATCTAAGATGACTTATTTTATAACAGATGCAGATGTATTAATTAATCTG